GTAGAGCAGCTGGGGTGCTGCCGGGTTGGTCCCCGCAGCGCTGAGGTGCGGCGCTGCGGGGACCTACCCAGCAGCGCCCCAGCTGCTCTGTCCCAGGCGTCCTGATTCAGCCGCTGCTGAAACTGATCAGCGGCTGATTCCAGGACGCCAGTTCCGACTTACATACAAATTCAATTTAACAAACCTACAGTCCCTATCTTGTACATAACCCGGGGACTGCCTGTATTCCTTGACTTAAGCCACATTCAATAGAATTGCATTATTTTTAGTAAAATGTGTAGTCAGAAGCACATAATTCTACAAAAATTTGCATTTTGCAACATACATTTACATTCATTAATTTCCCTCTCCATGGAAATCCCTAGTAAAAGGCAAGAGATCCACACAGTTCCAACTTGTTCCGGACATTGGAATGTGGTAAAATTGTATAAAATTTAATAGTAGATAGTGAGAAGGAATAAGCTTGGTGCCCAGACTTGTGAGGTACTGCAGCATGAGACAAGCTCATTTGTGAATGATAACATATTAATTATGTTATTGTTGTATGATTCATGTAGGCAGAAGTGAAGCAGATATCCCCTGAGCTCTGAAGAATTTGTACATATCCACATGGCCAAGAACAAGAGGAAGCTTGACTGTGTGCCATTTTTGATCCAACATTTCATCCAAAGATTATTACATACAAAACACATACAAAACACTGCAAACTGTAAAAGTTTATAAAGAGTTCTAATTTTCTCTCTTTAAAAAAAAGGTGCCATATTTATCAGAGACAGAAAAAAGGAGATAACAGTTACATGTCTATATCTATATTTCCAGTAAGAAAAAAACATATTTCACCTTCCACTGGGTGGTGTAATTGTGCACGCAGAATCTGTAACAGTCACGTGTGCTCCTGAAAATGATATTAAACTCTAGTTTTTTTAATGCACCATTTACATTAATTGCACATTTAAAATGCCACAAAGATAAATTCATATTGTTTTGGTAAACAATATTAAAGAGCTTGCACATTTATAAAAAAGAGTCTTACTTCCTGTTTATAGCTAAAAAGAAACCCAGGGTTGTGAATTCAATCCTTGAGACGGCCATTTAGGGATTTGGGGCAAAAATTTGTCAGGGATGGTACTTGGTCCTGCTGTGAAGGCAGGGGACTGGACTTGATGACCTTTCCAGGACCCTTCCAGTTCTAGGAGGTAGGCAATCCCCATTAATTTAAACAAGTACAATATAACTTTAGTTGGGACTGGTCCTGCCTTGGGCAGAGGGCTGGACTTGATGACTTCCTGAGGTCTCTTCCAGCTCTATGATTCTAACTTTGGAATTTTTTTTTATTTAATATGAGCATTTCATCTATCCCCTTCATCATTGTAACTGGAAGTCATAAACTAAATTGATTCTATGTATCTATGTTATTAAACTATGCAGTGTTTTGGCAATCTTGCTACCCTGTTTCTATATTGCACTTAGATACATAAATATTATTAGAATACAAATTATGGATATTTCTGTGGAGTTATTTATCTTACTGAAAGCTACTTTTTGCCCTAGCATAATTTTGTACATTAATGGAATATTTGCCATTTCTATTACATCAAGACCCTATGGCTGTGTCTAGATTGGCATGATTTTCCGGAAATGCTTTTAACAGAAAAGTTTTCTGTTAAAAGCTTTTTCAGAACAGAGCGTCTAGATTGGCACGGACGCTTTTCCGCAAAAATTGCTTTTGCAGAAAAGCGTCCGTGCCAATCTAGACGCTCTGTTCTGAAAAAGCTTTTAACGGAAAACTTTTCCGTTAAAACGGTCTACACTGGCCCTTTTGCGCAAAAGCTTTGCTCAAAAGGGACTTTTGCCTGAACGGGAGTCCCAAAGAAATCAGTGCTTCTTGCGGAAGTCAGTGCTTCTGTGGAAATTCAAGCAGCCAATGTAGACAGCTGGCAAGTTCTTCCGGAAAAGCGTCTGATTTTCCAGAAAAACTGGCCAGTCTAGACACAGCCCATATGCCTAAAGGTGCCTCCTCACTGCACTGCAAGTCAGACTTAATTTGGGGGGATGGAGAACCTAAGCAATGAGCGCTGCAAGATGCAAGCCCAGTAGTAGCCCTTCAAAATGGGTAGCAACAAACACTGGGCTCTATATTGCCTTTAAATAAGCTAGCATGAAATCCTGGTTCCTGACAAGTCAGCTGTTGCTTAAAGAAGTCCGTTCCCCAACACACATGCACACCCACTTGCATTGATTCCTTGGAACTAGCATAGTCCACAAGCAATGAGCGCTGCAAGATGCAAGCCCAGTAGTAGCCCTTCAAAATGGGTAGCAACAAACACTGGGCTCTATATTGCCTTTAAATAAGCTAGCATGAAATCCTGGTTCCTGACAAGTCAGCTGTTGCTTAAAGAAGTCCGTTCCCCAACACACATGCACACCCACTTGCATTGATTCCTTGGAACTAGCATAGTCCACTCTGTCATAAAATACACTTCTACAGATGATCAATGACCTCCAATAAGCAGATAGTTGTGGTCTAACCAAAGCACTGGGAGGGAGCAACTAAGGATGTTAGAGGTCGTTTAATAGTCCTGTAACCGCATCAAATCTTATCGGTCACACAATTATTCGATGATCCCTGGGGGGAGGGGCTGACAGTCAGTGCAGTGCACTCCAGATCACTCCTGGGGAGCGCCCGCCACTCCACGCTCCTGCCCACAGGGGGCATGAGCTCCTCACAGAGCCACCTCTGTCCATGGAGAGCCCAAGCACTACAACAGAGACTGCACCAGCATCCCGCCTGCTCCCCTCTGCTGAATGCTGCCTCTGATACAGAGGCAGCAGCGCAGGGGGGGAGGAAGAGGGGAGAAGGCAGCATGTGAAACCAGTACTTATGGGGATCTGGCTTTTAAGCTGACTCCCCGGAACACTGACTCCTGCCTGTACCTGCCCCTCACTGCCTCTGTGAAGGGTGGGGGAGGCGGCTCCATGGAGCCGGCACATGGACAGTCAGCTCCCTGCATGTATCTGCTCCCACCTGTCCCCCTACCCCTGGACAGCAGGCAGCTCTGTGGGATCTGGTGCTCATGGGGAGCCATCTTGAAAGCCGGATCTGAGGCAGCAAGGGCGGGGGGGGGAGAGGGTGCGTGTGTGCGTGTAGTTATTTGGATTAATCAGTAAGGCTAGTCTTATCGGTTAACCATTTAAATGACTATACACTAACATTCCTAGGAGCACCTTGTGTGTCTTAATCCCTAGTCTGACAGTGACACTCTGGAGTTTTAGTAAAAGTCACTTGGCCTTGAATAGTTCCAGAACGGAGTAAGTTTAACTGGAATGTAGGCATTTCTTCCAAACAGGACATCTATAAACACATCTACTGTAAAACATTGCAAATCCACAAAGACCTGAAGATAAAAATATACATTCTAAATACCATTTTAATATTTTGTTTACTGCAAACACTTACCTAGGTGTTTCTTTGGCTCTAGGAAAGGCCTGCGTTAACACAAAAAGAAAATTCTATTACCTAAAAAGTAAATAGCACTATGCATTTGGTAGCATAACATTTAAGCACAAACACTGTTATCTTCATGTACCAAACTGCATATGTACAAAATTTAAAAGAATGTAGAATTAAGGTATCCACAGAAAAATATTAATTAGTTTTTAATGGACAAACCAATAAAAGGGAAAGAATGTAACCTTTTGATCACGAATGAGATCCCCGATTTGTTTTCCAAAATCCATTTCAATGTTGTCACATCATAATTTGCTGGATGTTTAAATGCAAGTCCTTCCGGGAGACCTTGCACTGCCACTGCAGACTGGTCCCTTTGAATCTTGTCATACGGCACAGGGACTACTGTTGACTTCCCTAAAGCTTTACCTGTACAATAAAATAAATTGTTGGGGAAAAAGTATGTATGATTAAATACAACAAGCAGCAAAGCTTTTGTGTTTTTTCCTTCTCACTTCCAAATCTTAAATCCTCCTTTCCTTCCCCTGAATCATGTTATTCTCTGGTACACACTCCCACTCCATGGTCTGCCATTACTGTTACCATCCTTCTCGAGGGGGATGGCAGCATCTAACTTCCTTCAAAGCCACTTTCTAATGGGCCGAAGATCTCCATTGAGTAACATGATGGAATGTTTCCTTAACTAGAAAGACAGAAACCACAATACTTCCTTTCTCTGGAGAAGAAAATGCTTTCCCTAGGGAGGATAAGGCAGGACAGAGATGGATCAAAAACTCAGGAATTAAGCACATGTTGCTTTGTTAATGGTGCAGAGAATTACCATTAGGTTATGTATTTCGTTTTTGCTTAAAAGAAAGCTGCTCCATTGAACATTCTGAATGTTTGTGCTGTGAAAAATATGTAAGACAGCAACCTCTTTGGGAGTTTAAATTAGGGATGATAATGATGATTAGGGATCGACTAGATGATTAAAAGATAAGCCTAAATGTATCGGTTAATCCTGTTGGCTACTTGCATTCCCCCCTCTTGCTGCCTCTTATATCAAAGGCAGCAAGGGCGGATAGCAGAAGGTGGTGCTATGGGGAGCTGGCTTAAAAGCTGGTTGCCCCCTCCCCAGCATTGACTCCACAGTGCCACCTGCCACCACTCAATGCTGGCTCTATCAGAGGCACCAGCGCAGGGCACCAGACAGCCGGTTTGTGAGGGGAGCTGGTTTTTAAACTGGCTCCCCTCGCATACTGGCTTCCCCAGCTATCCCTCACTGCTGCCTCTGATACAGAAGCAGCAGCATGAGGTGACAGAGGGCTCCCCAGGAGTGGGGCCAGGAGCACACTGACTGCCAGTCCCGCCCTCAGGGACTATCGAATAGTCATATAACTGACAGTATTTTGTGCAGTTACACGACTATTCAATTATACGATAACTAACATCCCTAGTTTAAATACACAATAGCACTACTGAAAAATTAAGCTCATTATCTCAGCAGTACTCTAGACTGACAACAGAAACTATAAGCCACTCAACATCCTACTTCCTCGGATTGCTAAATCATCATTGACGAGAGAAGGGTGTTATTTCACATTTTAAATAATTAGTTTAAATGCTTACCATAACAAAAACAGAAAAAATCCTCTACAGACTTTCGGAGAGCTTCCATTTCTACAATATCTACTGTCAGCCTGTTTACGAGTGATGTAGACTTTGTTTTCTGCAGTTCAGCAGCCTTTTCCTCTTCATTAACACCTGCAAATTATTTTATAACAATCAGAACACAAATCCTAATTCCTTAAAACTCATCTAATTGCCCTTCTGGAAGTTAGCTGTTAAAATTACACAGAACAAGAACAGTTCATATCCCTTAAAATCAAGTCTCTTCCTGTCAACAAACAGATGGGCTATTGGCAAACCTATGTTCATGCCAGTATTATACTGTATTCATGAAGGTAATAAATATCATTAAACGCAACGATGATCATGAACTAAGACAAACATCTAAGCTGGTTAATTTTGGGTAAAGAGGTAGAAAATACTGAGGAATAGTTTAAGAGAAGGGCACTGACGTTTCAAATAAAAAAAAGACTGGAGTAGTCATGAGGGAAGTTAATATGTCTGTATCTGAGGAGCCTATCACCCCTCTAGTTTTACTTCTGGCACTTTACAAGGTAGTAACATTATTCCTTGTTCTGTTTGTTGTATAATGCTTAACTGATTATTTCTGAAGGAAGGCATATGATCTCTCAGTACAACTGCTTGTATGCAATGCAGCTCTTTAATCTTTTCAAAAAATTCAATTTATGTGTCTACTATTGTTGAATGGGGGTAAATACTGTCAAGTTGTCAATGCATGGAACTGAAAATAATCAGCTCTAAACTTTTCTTTTTCCCATTCTCTGAGCAAAACAAAACAAAACAACCCACCACCCACCCACATGAATGATGGATGTCAACTTCCTCAACCATATATGATGGATAGGAGAGAGCTGCATTTCAGATTGCAGCTTTGTGTTCTAATGACATCATTCATCACCAAAGATTTACTGAGATCCTTCTGCAAAAAAGTAACTTTGGACTTCCCAATGTCTGAAAGGAAACAATCTACATATATGTGCACGTATTTGAAGGGGGGAAATGCTAAAGTTGGTTTTACTCATCATAATGTACAGTAGCAATAGATCTTCGAAAATTCAAATTTTCACTGAAAATATTGAATCATTACTACTGTTGTCAGATAGGCAGAGTGCCCCAGATGAGTTCCTGACAGGTTTCTGGCTCCGTGGATGATAACCACAAGGCTGCTTGCATGTGTGCTCGATAATGTGTGCTGTGTTGATTTACACATTAATCAACATAGCAGACTTCAAGAGCCCCCCAAAGACAACAAATCAGATAAGGATCGAAGGTGCCTGGCCAGGTTTATTGTTAAGCTAAGTACAGTAAGAGTTGTCTGGCTATACTGAACCACTACACACATGTACCCCTAACAATGGAGTGACTCAATCAGTGGGACGTCCCACGGACCCCTAGGTCATTGGAAGACTATCCCCCCCGCCCCCAAGACACAACTTTATATACTGGTACAAACAAGTTACACATCACTCCTCATGTGTCAGGTTGCCACCCTCTGATGCTACTTAGATACCACCCATCACTCTGTACCCGCCCACGAAAGCTCATCATCTAATAAACCATCTTGTTAGTCCTGGTTTTTGTTTCAGCTGTCATTTTAGATCCTTTCCTGAACCTGAGTCTGTATCTGTGGGGAGTGTGGGTACCAGGGTCTTTTTTAAGGAGCTGGTGGTATAATATGCTTTCAACTTATGAACAGTACCAATTACTGTTCTACACCTGAGCCTATTACCAATTAGTGTTTTACACTCTCAGCCCTGTTCATGCCAAGTTCTCTGAGGAGGGGCCTGGCTCTTGCTCACAGCTTTGCTTTGTGTTAGCCACATTTTGTCCATTGTTAGCTAGGCCTCAGGCCAGGCCTGTGCTACATGGGCTTATGTTTTAGGCCTTCATCTTACTACAGTTATCAAGGAATGTGTGCCGTGGCTGGAAGCTGTGAGCTTATAATCAAGGTTTGAAATCTAGAAGCCTCTTTGATTGAGCCTTAATCAGGGGGCAGGGCTATCAGGAAGGCCAGAGCTTTATGAAGCAGTGAATCAGCAACCAGGGAGCTGTGTGTACAGGGGCTGCAAAGAGAGTTTTCATAGAATCATAGAATAATAGGACTGGAAGGGACCTCAAGAGGTCATCGAGTCCAGCCCCCCGCCCTCAAGGCAGGACCAAGCTCCGTCTACACCATCCCTGACAGATGTCTATCTAACCTGTTCTTAAATATCTCCAGAGAGGGAGATTCCACCACCTCCCTTGGCAATTTATTCCAATATTTGACCAACCTGACAACTCCTTGTCCTGTCCTCAGAAACCAAGAGGAACAAATTTTCTCCTTCCTCCTTGTGACACCCTTTTAGATATTTGAAAACCGCTATCATGTCCCCCCTTAATCTTCTTTTTTCCAAACTAAACAAGCCCAGTTCATGAAGCCTGGCTTCATAGGTCATGTTCTCTAGACCTTTAATCATTCTTGTTGCTCTTCTCTGTACCCTTTCCAATTTCTCCACATCTTTCTTGAAATGTGGCGCCCAGAACTGGACACAGTACTCCAGCTGAGGCCTAACTAGTGCAGAGTAGAGCGGCAGAATGACTTCACGAGTTTTGCTTACAACACACCTGTTGATACAACCTAGAATCATATTTGCTTTTTTTGCAACAGCATCACACTGTTGACTCATATTCAACTTGTGGTCCACTATGACCCCTAGATCTCTTTCCGCCATGCTCCTTCCTAGACAGTCGCTTCCCATCTTGTATGTATGGAACTGATTGTTCCTTCCTAAGTGGAGCACTTTGCATTTCTCTTTATTAAACCTCATCCTGTTTACCTCTGACCATTTCTCTAACTTGCTAAGGTCATTTTGAATTATGTCCCTATCCTCCAAAGAAGTTGCAACCCCACCCAGTTTGGTATCATCTGCAAACTTAATAAGCGTACTCTCTATCCCAATATCTACATCATTGATGAAGATATTGAACAGTATGGGTCCCAAAACAGACCCTTGAGGAACTCCACTTGTTATCCCTTTCCAGCAGGATTTAGCACCGTTAACAACCACTCTCTGACTACGGTTATCCAGCCAATTATGCACCCATCTTATTGTGGCCCTATCTAAGTTATATTTGCCTAGTTTATCAATAAGAATATCATGCGAGACTGTATCAAATGCCTTACTAAAGTCTAGGTATATGACATCCACCGCTTCTCCCTTATCCACAAGGCTCGTTATCCTATCAAAGAAAGCTATCAGATTAGTTTGGCATGACTTGTTCTTCACAAACCCATGCTGGCTATTCCCTATCACTTTATTACCTTCCAAGTGTTTGCATATGATTTCCTTAATTACTTGCTCCATTATCTTCCCTGGAGCGCATGACCTATGAGGAGATACTAAGGGATTTGGGTTTGTTTAGTCTGCATAAGAGAAGAGTGAGGGGGGATTTGATAGCAGCCATCAACCTACTGAAGGGAGGTTCCAAAGAGGATGGAGAAAGGCTGTTCACATTAGTGACGAATGGCAGAACAAGGAGCAATGGTCTCAAGGTACAGTGGAAGAGGTCTAGGTTGGATATTAGGAAAAACTATTTCACTAGGAGGGTGATGAAGCACTGGAATGGGTTCCCTAGGGAGGTGGTGGAATCTCCATCCCTGGAGGTTTTTAAGTCTTGGCTTGACAAAGCCCTGCCTTGGTTGACTTAGTTGGGATTGGTCCTGCCTTGGGCAGGGAGCTAGACTTGATGACCTCTTGTGGTCTCTTCCAGCTCTGATTGCCTACACGAAGTTGGGCAACTACTGAAGAATAGAATGTGAATAGGTGATGTATATTGAATACAAATCTGCAAATTCTACACTTGAACTATACATGTCTCCTCTACCTTCCAAGTCATCTGTCTTCTTAGTATCTTTGAAAAATCTCCTCAAAGGGAAACTGGACTGTCTAGCTCCCACTTAAAGCTAAAATGTTAAATCCCCTGGAGCTGTTTCTTCCAGTGTGGAGACAGTACCAAGTACACTGTAGTTGCTACCACAAAGCACAGAAAAGGGTGATAATACTTATCTACTTCAGTGAAGTTCTGTGGGGATTAATGACCATTTCTAATGTGTGCTCCTGTATCTTTGAATCAAAAGGTACTATTAGACATTCAAAGTATTGTTAGGGGCACCAGTCTTTTTTTCAGGTGAAAAACTATGTTATTGAAAAAGAAATAATGTATTGGGTAAGCATCAATTGCATGCTTAAACACTTTATTAAAATAACCCCCCCCCCAAAATAACATTGTCCCTGCCTCATTAAGCTTATAACCTAAATAGTGATAATGCAATTATAAATCTCCCTTGTCAACCAAATGAAGATATCTTTGTGGTGTGATTTCATCCGAGTGTTCAATAGCACTTTACAGGTACTAGAGACAAGCAAAGATTGGTTCTTTTGTCAAGCCTATTATGAAGACAGTTGTGTTACACATTCTGGTAGGAGTTTTGTGGCAGACCCAGGCAAGAGGGGTAAGCAGACTAGAAGGCGGCAGATATACTGGTCACTGCATAAACAGTTTTCTGAGCCATTCCCTGAATAGTCCAGAACAAAGGCTACTCCAGGTTAATGTGCTCTCTGACTCTAATTAATCTGCAGAAAGTCAGATAGGCCTTTAAGCTTATGTGGACACCTGGCTCCAATTAAGGCCCCACCCATACTGTTTAAAAGTTCTCCCTCTAGTCCAGAGTTTCCCAACCTATGGGCGGGGACCCAAATATGGGTCCATCATTACATTTCAAAAGGGTTGCTGGTGTCTCCCCAGGTGGCTCTTAAGGAGCCATTAACACATTTTTTGAATTGCCCTGGGTCACCAAGTCTTCCTGAATTGTCAAAATGGGTCCTGTTTTGTTAGTCTATAAAGTGCTAAGACACCATTTGTTGTTTTTTCTGTAACAGACTAACTTGGCTACCCTCTGAAGTGTCTGGAAAAGGTTGGGAACTGCTGCTCTAGTCAATCTCAGGGAGAGGAGCAGAAATACTGCTAAAGAACTGAATAATAAAACATCAACTGGCCACTGGAAAGGGAACCCTGAGGTAAGGGTGAAGGAGGCACTGAGGGAGAAAGTAAGAGGCAGGCCAAGAGAAAGTGGC